TATATAAAATGGTCAAGGGAACTCATTATTTTTAATAATTATTTTAAAAAATTAAACTACCCAGAGAGTTTAGGCTATTGGGTGCTAGATAAATATAATTCATCATCACCAACGAAAGCATGAAGAGACTGATATTATTATTTATTCCACCTATTCCCAGTGATTGGGACTCAAAGCAGGTTATAATATTAAAATCCATACAGTTAAGACATTCAGAATATAAAAAGTTGAAATAAAATTAAACCAATTAGATATTAAAACATAACAGATACCCAGATTAAAAACACTAATCAACAATATAAAGAATAAAACTCTAAATTTTAAACCTCTATGAACAATGAAACTCTTACTTTAAAGACTAGGCTCTAAATTTTGTAAACATATTTTTGATTATGTGTTTACTCATATATATATATATATATAAAGCTTTAATGAAGAAGGATATTCTTTAAAATCTATTCTGGTAGGAGATGCAGTTTTATGCTTTCCCTGGTTCCTTAAGAATCTGTCATTCCTTCATATGTCATATTTCATTGCTTTGCAACAACAACAAAATCTCATAACAGTTTACATAGTAAGATTGTCCCATAATTAAAATATCCCAAACCATTATGTTTTTACTACACTTAATATTCTGCTCTTTTCTGTGAACAGGATGTTCCTTGATCTGAAAGGTCTCAAGTGTGGAACAATTTGGTGAGCATGAATCAGTGCCAGAAAAGAACATGTTTACTAAGAAAATTATCCCAGGAATCATGAGAGTCAGTTATAGACAAACTTCCTTTTGATTCTGTTAAAAACAACCTAGAAGCAAAAATGATAGAGCAATGATGCAAATGAGACTGTTGTACTTCAGCACATCATAAGAAGGCAAAACTCAATGGACAACACAATCATGCTAGGGAAAGTCAAAGGCAGAAGAAGAGGAAGGACATATGACTATGAGACGGACCAATTCCATACCTGACAAGCACAGGACGTTTTGGAAGGCATTCATACATAGGGTCACCATTTGTTGGAGATGACTTGACGGCTTGTAACAATGACAACAAAACCCAAGTAAATTTCATGACATGCTAAGCCACCCAGAAAATAAGCTATGCGGTATGGGTTGTTCATAATGTGTCGCACAATTGGGTTACCTGTGGCTTATTCCCCTCTCCCCCCTCCTTGGTGCTTCAGCTGGCTTTCAAGTATCTTTTATGGCAAAATCAGTCTTGCCTTTCCCCCCCTCCCCGCAGTCTGATCACTATTGCTTTTTAACAATAACTTTGGAGCATCAAAAATGCACAATTGGGTTATTATTATTTTTAAGGACTGACCTTTTGCGCCATCTTCTTTTCTCAGTTCTTCACAAGTATGTGATTGTGGTGGTAATGATGATGGTGATGAAACAAACGTTTGAGCACAGTTTTGAGGTGTTGAAAAATGATGGTGAGACAGTTCCAAAGTGCCAGTTGGGCATACGTGGAGGAGGTGTCATTTGCAACAGTGAGCAGTGAGATTCTGAAAAGTGGCAGGAGTTTTTGCTAGTCTTGCTGAGCAGCTTGCTAACTGATCCTAGCAATCTATGATGAAATTGCTCTCCCAGATTCAGATGAAACCTCAAACCATTGCATATTGAATGACCCCTAGAGCAAACAATAGGTTATCAGGCCACTCTGAGGGAAATGATTTGGGTTCAGATGACATGGTTCAGTCATGGTGTCATCTTTTGAAGCAAAAGATTTTAACCAGGAACTTCCACTTTTTCATTAACCTGAGAATAAGGAACCAAGTTGCTTGTTTCTTTAAGGTGACACTTAACTGGAAATGTTTACATTTTTCACCTAGAAGAATAGATGCATGAAAACTTGTTAAACCACAAGGATTCCTAAATACCATTGGAGTAATTTGTCAAAACAATTATGCACAGTGGTTTTCAAAGAGCTCCTAAAATGGAAAAATAATGTTGCCACCAAAGGTTCTCCTTTTTTAAAGCTTCTGATAAACTGCTGGTGGTTTGCATTGTTTAGGTAGTGTAATGTGAAGAAAATGACTAGGTTCACACAACCACAATGCCTTAGTGCATTGTGCAAACTGCCCATGGGGTTGCTTATAGAATCATAAACTCATAGCATAATAGAATTGGAAGGGGCCATGAAGGTCATTAGGTCCAACCCCCGGCTGTTGCAGGATACCAGTTTACGAGAGCATTCCACTCAGATGGCTGTCCAGTTTCTTTTTGAATGTTTCTAGTGTGGGAGAGCCCACAGCCTTTCTAGGCAGTTGGTTCTACTGTCATATTGCTCTGACAGTGAGGAAACTTTTCCTGATACCTAGCCTGAATCTGGGTTGTTGCAGCTTGAACTGATTATTCCATGTCCTACACTCTGGTGCAGTGAGAAGATATCTTGACCTTCCTGTTTGTGGCAGCCTGGATGTATGCATGTATGCATGCATGTATATATTTGGGGCGCTTCTATCACATCCTATGCAAAAGTCTCAGGACAGCAGAATGGTGGCAGTACACAAAAAATATAGAAATATAAATAATATATACACAATAGAATATAAATATTTAATAAACCAGTACTAAAAACTGCACTTGGCTTGATATAGGGCTTTATTGCTATCTCTGGGCTCACTCTCTTTTTTGAACCCATATGATGCACCAAGCCCAGGTGAAGTACCAAACCCTGCAGAGCTTCTAGGGAAGAGTGGCATGTGGCTGCTGCTCTGGGAAGATGGCTCTGGATGAGGGCAAGGCCTGCAACGTCATCGGACTCATCCGGGTGAAGCAGATGGCAGCATACAGGCCACCAGGAAAGAGGAGATGGTTCCAGGCAGCTTGCTGTGTTCAGCTGCCAAATACTGCATAGAGTGTGGCTCATCACCTGCAGCCTGATTCTGGCAGGAAAGGGGTTGCTTGGTAACTCTTCTCTGCAATGAGCAGCAACATCAGTCCTACCAGGGTTTGGAAAGGTGGCATGTAAGGCGGTTGTCTTTGCTGATGCTAAGACAATGTGCTTGCAAGCCCACTCTGCTGGTATCAAGAGACTCAGCACTCCAGGCACCAAAAGAGGCAGGCAGCCTCAGAAGCATGGAATGAGCCATGCTTTGCGCCTTCAGGAGGAGGTCAATGCAATATGATCCCTCCCCACTCACCAGCAGCATCCTCACTCAGGCTAGCTACATTTTCACTGGCTGGACTGGCAGGAGGGCGCTCCTGCTTGCCATCACAGTGCTCATTGGAATGACAAAAAGCAGGGCCCCTGCACTCCTACTGGTGGTGGCTCCTCATGGGCCAAGAGCCCCTGTTTTTCATGACTACATGAACATGACGATGTCAAACAGCAGTTTTCTTTGTAGTGTGGCTTTGTTGTGTCATGTGAATCCTATCAATGGCTTGTAAAGTTAGCCAGAACTGGGCTGGGTGTTTGGACCTCAGAGGTGTTTCATGTTAATGGAAAATGTAAATAATAACATTATTTTAAATTTTAAAAAAGCAGTTCTGATGTCCCTACTGAAGAAACCAACTCCATCTCCTATGGTTTAAGAGAACATGGTAGCTTCTCAAGTCCAGGATGATACGAGATATTTGGATAAATTCCAGTCTGTTTTCCAACATGGTTATGGGATGGAAATAACTTTAGTCACTCTGGTTGATGATTTATGCCAGGGAATAGATGTGGGTAGGGAGTGCAACCCCTTTGGTTTTTTCTGGCTCTGTTGGTTGCTTTTAATACCATCAGCCATGTTATCCTTGGAGATGGGGCCCATCCGTCTCACAATACAGCATTCACAGCCAGATAGTTCACATTTGGAATGTGAGATAAATGAGCTAGAAGGGGAGCAGGATTTGGCAGGCGACTATGAAGTCAAGGCTAACGAGTGAGATTACTTAGGCAGCAAGTGAGAACCAAACCAACTTTGGCATCAGGGGAGACAGTGATGAAGGGTGGAGGGAGGAGAGTGTCAGGCCAGATGGGTGGACCATTTATGTAACTTCAGATGTTCCTGCTATTTGGCCCACAAACGACATGAACCACCCTGAGGATTGAGCCAAGAGGCTAGGAAAAGGAAGGGAGGAGGGAGTCATTTTGGTTTGGAATCACTGTGGTTCATGCCACTCCCACAGATCAGAGGTATCATTACTTTGATTTATGCAATCCAGTAACAGCTCTGGTTGAAAATGGCCTCTGACAAAGCAAGACTTGTTACAGTCAACAAAAGAGTGTATTTTATAAACTTTAATTCTGATCAATGGAAAAGAAAAGAGGGGCAGAGAGAAACGTGCTCAACATAGCATCCATCTGGATTGATTATCTGGGTTTGGCTTAGGTGCAACAGCGTAAAGGTGGTTCCAAGAATACCACAGGAGTACTAGAGAAAGATTCATGATGCTCACAACTGAAGCTATTAATGAAGACTTTGTATTCATACTGGAATAAGCTTCCTGGTTTGGGTTGTTCCACTGGAGTGGAATCTGGTGAGTTCTGCATAGAATTGGCAATATATCCCAGCCATTGGCTAGTATTTAGTCTTGGCGCTCACACTACATTGTTTAAATGGAGTCATTGACTCAGTGGCTGTCTTTGCACTGGGTTTTTACAAACCTCTCTGTGAAAGGTCTAATGTTTTTGTTGAGAACCAAAAGCATAGTAGATACAATGTAGGTCTTCCATACGCAGTTTGTGCCTATGGCACTAAGGGATGTTGACAACACCAGAAGGGTGGTGATAGGTTTTATTAATTTACTTTTGCACTTGTATGCCACCAATTATCCCAACAAGGATCTGTAGGTGGCTTACAACAGTAATCAGAACACACTTCTTAAAAACAATAAATGTCATATAAAAACAACAACATAGAGGCCATTTAAAATAATACATATAGCAAGTTAAAAGGACAGCTATGTACAGAATTATTGAGGCAGATGCACAGCCAATTCACACCAGTTTTGGTGTTGTGTTGTCGTGACTTTTTTCCTACCCCAGCAGGCTTCATCCGCAAAGGACCTATTGATCACCATGTACCCTGAAGCGGTAAATGCAAGTGTAGTTTGGGTGGCCCCAGTTGCTCAGCACTTTCAGTTGCACGTGGCTCATATATTCAGAAAATTCATTCTTCAGTTGGAATGTTTGAATTAAATCTCCATCAGCATCATAAGCATATTGGCCCAAGAAATTTCCCTGCTCCTCATCTTCCTCTTTTAGTCCAAAAATAGAAAAATCTTTGGGAGCACTGGAGATCTCTCCCGTGGGGGAAACTTTTTTAGATATATGTTGTATTGTAACAGCTCTTGGAATCACTTCCATGGCTAGCTTGACAATGGTTTCACCTTGATGTCCAGGGAAAGCCCAGCACTCTCCAGGCTGGGTCTTAGGCTGAAGAATTATGTCTGGAGACTTCACAAAAGGAAATACAAGGAATGACATCCAGAAATAATTTCCTCCATCATGGCGGTAGCTCCTGGTCGTTCTGGAATGAACAATGCTGGCACCTGCTGATTGGAGGGCGTAATCGGGCATTTGAACATCATCTTCATCCAGCTTTTTAAGTAACTGGTTTATTATCTTTTCAGCACTCCATCTTGTTATGCCTTTGCTGGTGTACCCTTCTAATGCTTCACCGACAGCTTGATAGCTGATTGCCTTTAGTCCCAGTTGAAGACCATGAAGTTGTGACTGCAGCTTGTTCAACTCTTCCATCATCTCTTCCTTCACAACTGTAAGCTGAAGCACCTTTCTTTCCAAAATGCGATTAGCTTTCATTAGGGACCTCAGATCCTTGGTTTCACCCAGAATGAGATCACAAATGGAGCATTCTCTCCATTCATCAAGCTGAAACATCTCTCCATCAAACAGTCTAACATAGATAACTCCAAAAAGCAATGTGAACAGGGTCACCCAAAACACCATTTTCCCAGCAAAGCTCCTACTTACTAAATTGCAGTAGAGCTTTTTGAGAAGGCAAAATGGCATTATTGCGATCAGCACCATCATGTTACAGATGAGCCTGATGATACTTCTCTTGGCTGGGCATGGAAACTGTCCCCGTCTCCTGTGCTGACTGCTGAGAGGGTGGCTGCCTGTACAGCTGCAGGATGCCCTTTGTCCTTGGGACAAGCTCTCTAAAAGCTGTTGAGTGTCAGAGTCTGAGTTGTCACTGCTACAGCCATTGCTTGCTTCATTAGAGCCTCCGGTTGGATAGATCCTCCCTGAGACCTTTGGGTCTCTGTCCATACTTTTTTGCTCTTACCCGCTGATGATCGATGACCACTGATGCCAGAACAACGTGAAACTGCCTGATCCTAGGCAGCGGTGCGCTCCACAGCTCGACGAACCCAGCACGTGCAAGCCTCGCTGAAGGCACCGTGCTGCGAGCCGGTATCGCCTTGCGGGGGGACAAACTTCCGCTCCGCCTCCTGCTCCCTCTGCAAGCACCTCTCACGACGCGGCGCGCTGGGGAAGAGAGGCGCGCGCAAGCATCAATACCTTGCTGCCATGGAGACCGCTATTGTTACGGCTGCCTCTCCCGCCTCCGCCGCCGCCGCCGCCTCCTCCTCCTCCTCCTCGGCGCGGGGCGTTTCGGTTCTGCCTTAACGGTGCGCAAGAAGCTCTTTCTGCCTCCTGCGCAGTCAGTCTCACCCGGCGATGGACCCTGGCAGTTGGTGGCGGAGGTGGGCGCGTGTGGCGGCCTCCTGGTGGACCTCTTGGTCTACCAGGTGGGATGGGACCAACTCCTAGAAGTCTCTATCCGAGGCCAGGTGTGTCTCTCCTGTCCTCTGCCTGCCACTTACAGACGGGATGTGGAGATGCCTGCTCTGGCATGAGCGAATCCGGCTTTAAAAGCCTGGAGGCGATGGAAAGGGCAGATCTGGCTGGGAAGAAGCAAACCCAAGGTGGGGAGCGGAGGAGGCAGCCAATGGCTGCGGGATGGGAATAAGTGAGGTGCTGGGGCTTAAGGGGAGGTAGCACTGGCATCTTGTATTGGCAGGAGCACCGGTGGCACTTGCAAGCCCTCAACTCAGCTGCAGTCTTTCAGCACCTGTGGCCAGGTGGAGGAGGGGCTGGAATACATTTGCCCAGCAACAATATACTGTTCCTGTAGTAATGCAAGTACTTTAGGGTTCCTTTGTTGACCAAACCGTCCACGTTCTGGTGTGCACATGCCCAAAATGTGCACAATAAAATGCACAATTAAAAGGTTTATTTTTGAGAATAACGGGCTGCCAACTAATCATTTCAAATGGCACACATGAGCAGTCCTCAGCTGGCCCTTTTATATATTGATCATTAAAGGGTTACATGTAGCACAGTTAACACTTTCCAATAGGCTTCAGAAATAAAAAGTTGCAATGACATGATCTTTCCCGCTTCATACTAAAGAAGATGCTTCAAAGGATGATAGAAGAGATGGGGGATGGGTGGATTGGTTTGAACTGCCCTCTGTTTGAGCTGCTACTGTCTGTCAACTAGCTTTCTCTGGAATGGTGCCTGGTTAGTGTCTGCTATGCTTTAAGGATGCACATGTGATGATTTGTAGAAAAGAGGGTTTTTCTCCGGCCTAGCTATGTGTCAATGATTGCATAATTTTACCTATGAAAATATACCTATTGATTTGTACATCACCTTCATCTTTCATGGGCAAGTAAGTCCCATTCACCTTATCAAAGATCTACCCCTGGTTTGTTGATATGCATCAACACAACCATCGGCATTTTTGGAATCTCCTGGGGAGGATGCAGGTATAGGACTGATGTGAACTATTTCTGTAGTTCAAAATTAACCAGTACGCTGCTGCTCCTAATCAAATCACCTACACCCTGCTCCTCTCTCCCACAAGGAAAACTAAAGTAGGAGAAGGTATCACTGCTCATATAGCAACGTTGATGATGATGATGAAGATGACTATGATGATGTTTTAAACCCTGCCTTTCTTCCTCTTGCAAAGAAAACAAGGTGGCTTGCAGGGTTCTCCTGCTCTCCAGCTAATCCTCTTAACACCAACCCTGTGAGGTAGGTTAGGGTGAGAGTCTGTGACTAGATCAAAGTCAACCAGTGAGCTCTATGGCTGAGTGGGAGCTAGAATCCAGATCTCCTGCATCCCAGTCCAAAAATCTAACCACTACACCACACCGGCTCTGAACTGGTCCAGAAGACCTGTTTTTGCATTGCAAATTATGAATCCAGGCAGCTCTCAGTCAGCTATTCCATTGAAAGTAGTTGCTTCTACATTCTACCCATTTAACAATCAGCAGTTGCCTTCTGACTGCCAGCATTTACAAATGTGTTTCATGGCCAAGGCATGACTACATTTCCCTGGAAGCTTCCATCCAGAGGATGATATCCACCTGACTGAAACTGGGGCAGACAAGTTGAATGAAGAGTTTCTTGCTGACAGTCTGGATGGATTGCCTGTCCAGAAAATCACATCGAAGAAAGGAACTTTCTGACCTGATTCTGAGCTAAATCTCAATAAGGCTGAACTCTTCAGCCCTTCACCTTCCTTCCCCAAGCAAAAGGTTCAGCAATTTTGAAACTAGGAAAAGAAATCCAAGGAAAAATGTGCTTCCATTTAACATTTTTTTGATCCTCTGCTGCTTCGAGGAGGCTGAAGAGAAATGCTGGACTAGAATGAGTTCAGTCTCTCCAGTCAGACACCCACATACATCATAGCTCTTCTGTTCTCCAAAGAGACTAGAGCATTCAGCTCTAATGCATGTTGCTGAAGAGGCCAATAGATTATGTGCTGCTTGGGCCAGGTTTATGTTCATGGGTGCTGACACGCACTTTATGCACTGACATCTCTGCACCTGCAGTGAGTTTTCTTGAAATTATTACTACCTCAAAACGTCTATTTGCCTACAGGGCTCCATTTATATATCTCAGCTATTCCACTGTGGCCACATAACAGCACAGCCCAAATAGCAGGTTTTTAAAAACAGTGTTGTGAATGGTAAGACGTGGATGCTATTCATTCACTTCCCACCCATCCTCCAAGGGTTTCAGGGAGGCGCCCTTTCCCCTCCCATCCTCATAATAACTGTCAGTACTAAAATTGCACAGTCCCTAATTACAAAAGGCACATTAAACATAGCCACTTCTATTTTTAATGTAAAGCAAACATGCATGGCCTGAGGGGCCATGTCCCCAGTCTGGATTGAGAGCAGCCTCCAGTGATTTTCTACTGAAGATCCACCCCTGAGGGTGTAAGGGGAAACAGGGCACAATTTTCAGCAGACAATTTGCATGTGCCCCCAATGTGCAGTTCAGAGTTGAGACTCTGTGCAGCTACTTTCCCTTCAAAATAAAATAACAGTGTTAAGTATATTTTATTAAAAAACATTAAGATATCTTAGGGCACCTTCTGAGATACAAAAATGGACTCAAGGTAGCTTACAAGGTTAAAAAAACAGTCCATTAAGAAATATTTGAATTAAGGATAAAACAGATACCCCCCTTCCAAAATGCTAAATCCGAAATACAATTGCACTCAGAACCATCGGCAGACTTGGGGGATGGTGTGGAAGCAGCCCCTCTGCCCCAAACCCAACTCAGGACTAGGCCAAGCAATGAAACCACTTTTAAGGCCATTCCTGAAAACCTGTAATAGATAGGCCTTGAAAAAAAGCATGCATTGGATTGGTAGTGAATTTTTTAAAAGGACAATTAATACAAAATTTCATCTTCATGCTCATCAGACCCCTCTTCTGGGGTCTGATGAGCATCGGCCTCAGGCACATTATCCCAGTGTTTGGTTCATCCCATAGCACCAGTTCTGTTTACCAAAAGTAACCCACTAGGTGGCTCATGTTCCACACCTGGCTCCATGCTGGGTTGTCTTAACACAAGCTGAAATTTGGCCTGTAGGGAAGGGTGAGTTGGGGCCCCATATCATTTAGGGCACCATCCTATGTGTGTTGACACAGGATAAGTCCTACAGTTCCCAGCATTCCTCAGTCAGCAATACTGGATGATGTAGGACTTTTTTCTGTTTAAACATATATAGGAATTAGCCAATGAATTAGAAGACTTCTTTGTCATTTGAGTAGCATCCATTGCTCAATCAAGCTCCTTTGCCTGCAAGGGATTGCTGGATCTGGTTATGAGTAACAGAGTGAATTATGCACAAGTCAATTATTATATCACATCAACTCTTTAGGGATTACTACAGACAACTCTGACAAGACTAACATACCTGAAAATGTAGATGTATTCTGGAAACTATGTAAGAGTACTATTTTAGCACGAGTTGCTTTAGAGTTACATGTTGAAACCTATCTGTGATGTGAACAATTTGGCTGTCTTTATATATATACAATTGAATTCTTAAAGTGGAGGGTTGGAATCATCTATGCCATTTTGTCCTTAAATGATCTTTTATTTGATGTGGTTGAAGGATGAAGAAAGATCGTAGAAAGGGGTAATTAGGTTTTACAAAATAGTTGCTTTGCTATGATCTAGGGGCCCACGAAAGTGCTGTTTTATTAAAATCGCATAGCCTATTTCAAAGAGATAGGAAAATTAAAACACTTTGAAGGTATACATGGATACTATGTTAGGATTCAGACCTAAGATAGCACAGTTGCTCTGGGGCATTTAATTAAACCATGGCAGTACCTGGCCTACTATAATTCAACTTCAAAAGGTAAGAAATATTTTTGAATAATATCAGATGGTGGTAAGGAGAAATTTTTAAAATAGAGATGGAGGCATGAAATCAAATTTGCAGGGACACAGACATAAAGTTGCAAGCTTTGTGTTCAATTCAGTGTCTCTCCTCTGAGACAAAAGTTATTACTCTGGTTCTCCTACTGCATTTTAAAGGACTTTTTGAGATAATGGATAATGCAGCATACTACAAAGAGAAGTAGGGGCATGCCGCCCATCTTTTTCTCCAATCCTTCTTCTTCCTTCTTGTGTGCCTAACAGGGGAGGAGCCTATAAAATTGGTGTGTGTCTATTTGTTTATTTTGACAGTGTTTGAATAGAGAATCAGTTGGAAAGGAAAGGGGACTCCCTTATATAGGGATGAATGATGTTATCAGTTTGAGTTCCTCTCAGTTTTTCAGTTTTCCAATCTCAATTTCAGTTTGTCCCAAAAGTTAAAAAAACAAATCATTTGCATGAACGGTCCAACGTATTGTGCACATTTCTCCCAACCTTTTAATGCAATTTTGCCTAGTATACACAATTTTGCAAATACGTTTCCTAATACATTTTAAACAACTACTTTTCAG